TGTCTCCTTGAATAACTTGTTTTACTATGGCTGTCTTTTTCTTTCTATTTTCTTTCTTTTCCGTTTAGAATGTAGTTTTTCAAGAAACCACCTTTTCACTTAGTTTTGATCGGCATTTTGGCTGTTGTATCATTTGAAATTGTCGATGTTAGATTTAAAGACTGTCATATGATCATGTGGGATTATTTTTTATTGATTTTAAGGTTCACTCAGAGGAAGGTTTTGAGATGGTGTTGGAACAAAGCGTTATGTACATTTTGTGCCTAGGACAAGGGAAAATCTGTGTATGGGGCGTGCAAAATGGGATGCTCCCCCTGTAGCTGTCTACTGAAACAACAGCCCACAGAGCACAAATACAAATCTGAGAATAAAGATAAAAAACACTGAGAATATGTCTGAGAAAGTGTCATACTCAAGACACAACATCAATTGACTACCAACATACGCCAACAAGTATAAAAGTGGTTTACTATCTCAATGACGGGTCAACATGTTAAGCAGGAGGACAAACTATTATCGCACATCCCACAAACAATCAATCACTTGAATCTGCATTTTTGGGGTTTCATTGTAAATGGAAAGATGTCATTTTCAATTTCATTCTACAAACTAGGTATTCTAGAAATGGATTTTGACATGCACGCAGGCCTTGTCTGCCCTGCATTGTTTCAAAATCAAAGACTTTTACTTCTTATCCAAATCCAAATTTTGTGGGAATGATTTCATACAAGTGGCTCTCTGAGAGATGAGATTGACATGGACCCACCCTAGGTAGTTAGTCACAGATCGATCCATTGACTCCAGCCATACCACTGATATATCTCAAAAGTAGGATGGGGAGCCAACCTCATGAACAAAATAATCAGAGGGGTGAACCCTATGGAAAGGAAGAACCACATAAACATACTTGAGATGTTTTTCTTTAGGAGGATGCTAGCCCACTTTAGGTACAGTTAGAGAAATTTCTCGAGAAAAAACTTATCTGTAGTGGATATATGTCACAAAACAAGGAGGACGAAGTCTGGTGCGCTAATCCAACTGGTGGAAGAGATGCGCCTCGTGTACAGCAAAGAGACAATAAAGCTTTAAACTCGTCATCTGTTAGAGGTTAGGAACAGTGCTACTGACATGATGTCCAGAACATGTACAACCTCAAGTGGCAGATCACATGGGACTAGCAAACATTCTCTTTGCTTGTCGGATCGACCACAAGCTTGAAGCACACGGTCATGCTCACATATGATAATACTTTGTACCATTCTCATAATTCATGCTGTACTGGTGATACTGAATGTCATAATGACAGCAGTCATACCAAATTAGCCTGTGAAAACATTGTAGTCATTGGTGGTAGTCAGGCCAGTAAAAATGTTAGATAAACAAACATAAAGAACAAACGATAATGGATGGATAGAAAAAATATTTAACCGCGTAGAATACTAAAAACTGACAAAAAAATAAAAAAAATTAAATTAGGCTATTGTATTGTATTCGATAAATAAATAGGTTAAACGTATGTGTTAAATTGACAAGTCAAACGACTGGGAAGACAATTTTTACTTTTGTGAGCGTGGTTTTAATAGAATAGAGCAAATCGGTCCAGGGATGTACTATGGAATAAGGTAACGTGTTCTGGTAATACTCTTATTAACAGCTAACTAAATATATTACTAGCATATGTATATTCCCAAAATCTCTATATGCAGGTACTGGCAAATCAGCCTCGACTTAACTATAGCAGAATAAATGCGCATGCGCAGTTATAAATACATGGAGTGTGCTGAACGAGATACCGTTCGCGTACGTCACATGTCCAGAACAATTAACAGAGATTAACTCGTGGCCGTCAATCGGACATTGTAACAAGACACATATCAACACGTGTAAGTACATATGTCGTCTATATACAGTAACGCAGCATAGGTTAATATTTGTCGACGAACAAGCCAAAGTGAATTCAGGCGAAACAAATTCGATAACACAAATTTATTTCAATATCTATCCGCCATTATTATTTGGTCAGGGTACTCTGACTGACATACATAATATTACGTATACACGAATGCCATTAAACAACCCAGTAATATGTTATATACGGCATTTTATTTTACCAATGCATGGAATAATCATCAACATTTTTTAAGTATCTGGATCAACGGGTTCATTCACATAAATTAAGAGATTTAGTAAAAGTACATTTTATAGTCCAGATGAGCCTCATTTTTAGGGTCAGTGATACACTACAATGTTTTTAGAAATCTCACTAAGTTAAACTAAGTAGTCGCCAAAACATTACACTGTATTGGGTAGAACCCATCACGTGTTAACATTATCAGCCAATTATATCCCATCTGACATTAAATAAGTACAACGTCTATTGGTATAACCAATGTTTTTAGTTGGTAAGAGCTTGGCAAACATATTGCGTACTGGGTGAACGTCCAACAATCTACCAATTCACGTAAGCGTGTATCTCTTATGCTTCCATGACAAACGAGTATATATCGTCCAATACTAA